GTGTCACAAAGAGATTGGCTGAGCAAAAACATTACGACAGATGTAGGCTTGTGTTTCAGTCTCAAAATAATAAAGTTTTTGGTTTTCGAGTGGTGACAGCAGGTAAAATTGTTTGGCTCGCTAATTTTGGCGACGGTATTACCCTGTAACGCTGAAACATTTGTGTGGGTTGTTTTGGTGGTAGATTCACCTCTAAGGCGATTGCAATTACCAAGATGTTATTAAAGGAGTTTTAATGTTACTAACTCTCACATACACTTTATATTTTCTGGAAAACAGAAATGATAGGCGAAAAAAAAAACAGATACCGGTCGTGTCACATGATTATTTATGTCTGACGCTTTGGCTGCTCTTGCTGGTCCGCATGCCAGTTGCCGTTACGGCGCAAGGATGGTCATAAAAACGGGTGGATCAATCCCACCAATAAGTAGTCCACTCTTATAAGCCAGCTATTGTGTAGAAAAGTGTGTCGTAGGCATCGTATGCATGTGACTTTTCTTTTGTCCTTCTATCAGTAAGTGAAGCAATAGTTCCACCCTAGCAGTACTGCCAAAATGACGACTGTCGAGTGCTTCGGCAGCAACTAGGGCAACAAAAAAGTTAAAGTAGCTCACAAAAATGGACATATGAGTGTCTCATTTAAAACTTATGCTCCCTTTACTATCGCCACCAGGGTGCACCAATCGTTTCTCCTCAAGAACGTAATGTGGCAGTTGCCAGCAGATCGACCAAGATTTAGCGTCCTAGAAATGACGATTGAGTAGAGTGTTGCTGGATCACCTTTTCCACAAAAAAAGATTCGTTCAGCGGAAGAAAAGGAGCGAAATGCGTCAGAGACGCCACCTCGGAATGAGAACGCAATGTTTGCGTCAGCAACGGGAAGGCGTCAGCTTGGCACTTATGTGCATCTCTGTTTACAGACCATCAACTCCCCTGCACATTTATGACCAAGTTCTACACAGCAACGCATATACAGTACAACGACAATGGGGAGATCCCGAGCGCCACTACGCATGACATTTGCAAGGCTAGAAGTACGATGGTGCAATCTCAAAGACCCTGCGGCATTATTTCTTTACGGAAATATTTACTCGAATTCGTATGCAGTGATTTGATAAAATAACTTCAAAGAGATGCATTTTAAGAGATTTTTCGTGAACACTTATGGAAAATACCCAGACGCAGGCACCACAAACGAATCTTGCAGTAAAGAATCGGCAAGCTAGAATAGGTACACATGCAGTTTTGTAATCCACAGAAGCTATCTGCCGATTAAAACAATAAATAAGACTGATTTACAAGGTGAGGTCAATGCGAATTTGCTTGAATTTGTACGATTTCTGCGCACTTATTAAAAGTTCCGGGTTTATGTCAGTAAACAGTTTTCTGGTCAAAATATTCTTTCGCAACAAATTAATGAAATTACCTGTTTTACGCATTAATCTTATTGCATTTTGGCGCAATAAACTCAGCAGTTTTTTGACTTTTTTACCAACTAAAAACGCTTACTAGAACGGAACTTAAAATACTGCTTCCGTTCTTGTCACAAATTGTTTACTCGCACTACAGGAAATAATGAACAATTATCAACACTGTAAAAAAAGTGATGTCCAGTAGCTACGTATAGGGTGGTTACAAGAAAATACTACGGCCAAAGGTGGCTTATTTAATCCACAGTAAAAAGTCTGATATATTTTATCTGCTGAATTAATCACCACAACTATCTATGGTCTAACATCCCTTCTCAATGTGATACACAACTGTTGTGAACGCCCCTGTTACATAGCCCTTTTTTCTAAAGGCAAGCGATGTTTTTTTAAATAGCCCCACTTTCCCACCGTCTCTGGGGTGTAAGACTGAGAGAGCGGCAGTATTAACGCCATTCTCGCCTGAAGGTGTAAGTTTTCCCCTAGGTAAGCCTTGAAAATTATTTGGCATGTAGTTTAACATTGGAGGACTTTACTTTTGCACAAACATCTCCGAGTTGTTGACATCTTAATTTAACAATATTTAAGCCGGTGGCCACACCCAATTCTTTGTCATCAAGATTGCAGTCCAACATCAATAGTTTAGGTATTAGTCACTGAGACTAAGCAAATGTTATCTTATCTAATGATAAGTTAAGCTACAGCAAGCCCCAACCTCTCCAAACGCCATGCTATAAATATGGTGAAATACTTCTTCATTGTTGCATCTACACATAGTTCTAAATGGGGTTAAAACTCGAAAGAGATCAGTGTGTATCCCTTTTTTTTGCGGGTGTGTTTACACAATTTAAACACAATTAAACATTTAAACAAATGGGCCATTGCCATGAGGTACGCAGGAAATCACACCGCTTTGTTCAATGAATTAAAACAACTGAAACGCCTTGTGCAATCATGAGTGGATTTTGCGTTTTGAATGAAGACTTGGACGTTATAACTGTCGCTAAGTTCACCATTTGGTCGTGCTTACCAAGGCGTTTTAGGCATGAAGGTAGTAATTGTGTCATCATTAAGTCGAAGGGGTAGAAGACTCTTGGCATAGGGGAAGCTTACGCAGACCCGCGTAATTGGGTATACAATCAAAACAAGTAGCATTCTGCTACAGAGCCGCTGTTCTTTTTCGGAGGTCGACGGTGACACTCCTAAGGGTCGCTTTTCCACTTCAGCCATATGGTAAGTAGATGGAGGATCAAGAAGGAGGAATGGAGTCCCTGCAATTCCTCACAAGTAGTCACGCATCTGGTAGATTACAATCGTATTCACCCCTCATATCCTGCTTACGGAGTGGATTGTGGAGAATCCCTCGGTGAAGATCCTCTACTACTAAAAGATTTTCTTTTTCAGCAAAAATGTCCTGTGCCAAGCGTCATTTATCCAGTCTTTGAATTTACTGCCATGGTGAACTGTTAGGCCGTCTGGCGGGTCTGTTCTCGGCTCTCGGCGATACAGAAAGGTTTTGGGGACCGCGGGTCTTATGCCTTGTTGCCGAGCCCCGAAAATCTAAATTGTTGTTTCGTTTGACCGGTTTCGGCTAAAGATATCAACAGCGTATTGGCCGCTGCTGCCCTGCAGCCTACAGAAGGCCCTAGTGGTCATCTAAGCATAGTTGAGGGGCCAGTGGCCCCAAGAGCACCACAGAGCGCCTGTAGCTAAAAGCACAAGCCAAAACGAGGCACTGACTGCGTTTAAGCAAAAAACAAGACTTGTTGTTTTGCAGTTATGCAATGACAAGGCGTGCCACTGTCGTGGCACCATACAGGCTCGTCATGGGTCTAATAATCGGTTTGCCTGTCATATGCAAGTCCAAACAACACTTATTGTAATGGCAGGTAATCGTAGTAGTGTGTGCAAGAGGCATTGAACAGCGATGCACAATGCGGTGAAACAACAACTGTGGATATCAGCTGCGCTGCTCATCTGTGGTAAGGCATTTTAGGATGGACCATCATGCCTGGGGATGAACCGGTTTTAACATTGCACAAGAGATGGTAACCGTGGGTACAATCTAACACGAGTATTGAGTATCACGACCTCTGATCGCCTTTGACCATCACCGAAGGGCTAAGTGGTACACTAAGTTAGAGGAAAGTCGTGATGAATGACGCTAGAGGCTTCTGAAGTTCGATGGGTGCATCATTTCATGCCGGAGTCAGGACAACCACAAAAGAGATCAAAGTGGGTCAAAATCGGTGAAGTATATCGAATAGGGGAAAGCCAATCTCTCTCCATAAAAGTGGCTTCTTCCAATTCAAATAAAATTAAGGGTCCCGGCTTGACTCGAACGCCCATTTTACTTCACTAAGGTGTAACAAAATCCTAAGGCAGGGATAAGAATAGTGTTGACATACAAAGCTGTGTAGATGAAGTGATACTGCGTATTAGAGGTGACTCGATTTGAGCACTCCAAAAAACCTCCAAGGTCATCTCATTCACACATACACACACACACACACACACACACACACACAAGTATAAGGTGTAATTTGTCAAGCCTGTCTTAAGGAGACGCACTTCTCTACGATGGTGCGATGCGAGGCGACGTCTGTGTGTGTGTGGGTGTGCCTGCTGTCTGAGTCCACCCGATGTAGTTGATGTTTTGATGAGTCGGCATGGATGAAATCCCAATCGTTCAAACACACTTTGAGGTGACGTCGGTTAATATGAAATCGACACTGCGTTCCCTCTCCCGTGGGAGACCCGATGGAGATGCTCACCTGTGAAAAAGAAGCTCATTTGCATTGATTTGTTAATCCTACAGAGAAATTGTAGGATCAGCTTACTTTATTTGTGAAGCAAAAACTTTTTTGATTGTTTTTAACCCGGTATTTTCTTCATTCAGGCCTTCAGAGTGGCAAGCCTGCTTTAGGTATGAAATGTCGCATAAGAGATAAATCTTTTTTTACATCCAACTAACAGTGCAAAACGGGTAGTTGTTTTTGTTTTCACTTTGCATTTTAAGTACGCTGGCTTTTTAATCTTTTAGCAAACTTTGGGCCTGTCATTTCTCCTCTGCCTACATGGAATGCCACACCGTTTAAAGTCTTCGAGGGCATCTAGGCGCTACAGCGTGGGCAAGTAGAACACACCTAAGACTAAGGCTCCATAAACTCTTTTCGGTAAAAAAGTAGGAAAACTTGTTAGGACAGCCTGTATTTGACAATTTGACACCAAATAACTGACCAATCAGAAACGCGCATTCTTTTATTGCTCTGGATCTGACCTGCAGACGTTCTACTGCTTACGTCGGTCTTTATGAGGTATAGTATAGGACTGCGTACAAGACCTGACGGAGATTACCTTTTGTGTACCAGTCAAGCAGCCTATTTGGGGGCTTTTTATCCAGAGTAATGGGAAGGTGTGACAATAAATAGCACAAAAAATCGAGCAAATTTGCTGGTCTTTAGATATTGTTTCTTGCGAATTTAGCGAATCAATGTCATGTCTTGTTAGTTTAGATGTATGATTTGTTCCCATGTGCTCTTTTACTTTGGTTGGTTTAATAAAGGGGAGATGATGGTCAAAAAGTTGGCACAGTTTCCGGTAAGTTGTAACTGTAGAATGCATGCATAGCAATACCATGATGCAATTCTGTCTCTCCGTCCGTACGGTACACTTTTTTGGCCTCTTCGTCGCCTTCCCACCTGGTGGGGTCCTCATCTTGTAAGATGTTCAGTCAACCGAATGGAGGCAAGTTCACTGAAAACCATTGAACCCAGTCTAGAAATTGCGGAAACCACTATTCGAATTTATACGGGAGCAGTTGAAGACAGTGATGTTTGTGGTGGAAGAAATTGTCGGCCAAAAAGTACTTGTGTTCCTTTAATTCTGATGAAGAGCTACTTAGACGTAAATGTTGCATCATACAGAGGAACACACTCCTCCTCCGCCTCCTTTTGTCTACATCACCAACCACGGAAACAATTGATGTATGGCACCACGGAACCAAATCACTGCCTAATCACGTGTCTGGAAGTGTGCTGAAAGCTGTGCCTGAGGCGACTGAGGAAACAATCGGTGGAAAACAACATCAAGTGGCAATTATGAAGCAACGGTGGAGGCTATTAAGCGACAACATCAGGCAAGAACCTTCGCTTTGCAGGTAGGTCACATCCAAATGACATGCGTTAAGCAACAGGTAACAGCAAGATCGAAGGAGCCTACGTTCTGTAGTTCTTTTCTTTCGCATACCTTCATGAAAAACGTCGCGTTTGGACGCCTTCCTGACACGTTATGCCGTGGTACGTGACCTTCGTACCTTCTTCCAGTGTTGGTTCAACAAGGGATGGTGTAGTTGTTTATCCTTTACCCACCTGCCCGCCCACCACACCTACTTCGCAAATCACTCCTCAATTCGCCGAGACGTGTAACCACCGCACAGCATGTCTGTGGGGGTGTTTTGTGTGGCGTACTGCAGACACATCAATCGGTGGGGATGGTTCGCTTGCTAAAGCTTAGACAAGCCTTAGGGTCGGAGTCTATCCTTGTGATAAAACCACTTTAATTGACGTCTGCCAAGCTAAAAATTAGTCGGTTCTCCTGAGGTTGTGCAAAATTAGCTGAAAACACTTCATTCTCCCTTGCTGGCTATTTAGTCACACTTGGCAATGACGTGGGTGTCGAAAACAGACGCGTTTCTGACCGTCTTTTTGATGACATCCACAGCAGTCACTTTTGCTTTGTGGACTTCTTTTGCAGGATGCAAACACCGAAATGTAGGATTGGTGCCCATCCACATCATTCCGCTCACTCCTTCCACCAATGCGACGTGGTGGGTCGCTTCGATGGATAAGGGAGCTGGTACATCTCCGAAAGAACGTGATAGTAAACAATGCCCGAATAGCGCCAGCAAAAACTGTGTAGTTAAAAATGATGGTAAAACAAATACCATTTTGTCAGAAAATACAAGAATTATCTTGAGAGGCAGGATTAGTAGAATCCAGGCAGCATAAACATCCCTCTGGGATATTCACATGAGCGTTTCAAGGGGAAGGCGGGTTAGCCTCCTCCACTAACTGGCCTTCATTTCATATAAACAACAAAAATGTGCCATGTTCTTTAAATCATCCCAAGCTTATTTTTTTATTTAAAGTTCACTCGCAGACATGGGACATAAAGTGTAAACATCGCGATGGCACTGACGCACAATCCAGACGCTGTTTCCATATATTTAAGAAGCAGTTAAGTATTTTCTGAATCTAGGGGAAGATTTGTGCGGTTTTTGTAATAAAAAAATTGCAGAAGGATTTGGGCTTTGGACTGTCTTATCTAGTTGAAATGTAATTGGTCATTAAAAGAGAT